CTTCTTACTTATTGCCAGTTTTTAACTAACCAGAAAAAAGTGTCATTCATGTTGATTTTTGTGACTTCTCATGCTGCGCTAGATGCTCAGAATTCTTTACTATGTGAAGGATATATGTTAAATTGACTTAACTTGACTCCAAGGACATGATGTCGCACTGGGAGTTCTTATGTTGAAAATAAAAACAGATATATGCTGCTCAACATAATAAGGAACTAAAGCAGAGAAAGATGAGTAGGGGAATTACAGTTCTAGTTGAGATATCCACCAGAGGATGATTATGATAAATGGCAAGAAAATATGATGATGAGGGGAGAATGGGTCTATCACAAATGAGGTCTGGCAGTTAGAAAAGGTTTCTTAGGTCTCTACTTTGAGGAAGTTCCCTTATATCATTTTGGAACAGAGGATGAAACATCCCAAAATTCAATATACCTCACACCCTAACTTCCTCTCCAAGACTATGGACAAAAAAAATTATCAATCACAACTTGCAGAAAAAAAGAAGAAAGTCACTCAAATTTCTTATTATACCTTCATTTATTGAAATCTGTCAGATTTATATACAGTCATCGTAGCACAAGTGAGCGTCGAGAATGACAAAAAGTGATGCAAACAAGTGGAAAAGTTGTGGATTTATTTTTGACATGATGACCATGACGCTGTTCTTAGGAAGTCAAAATGAGAAAGAAAGAAGTTCAAGTCTCAATTACGGAATGATTTCTATGACAAGTGCCTCACGAGAGCTATGAGAGATACTTCTGAGATTTGATGCCACTTGATATTTTTTCTGCAGATGGGAAGAAGCTAGTGCAGTTAAGTTGGAGATGCGAGTACTGATAGCTTAGTAAAATGCTCAAATCACAATAAAATTTGCAAAATAAAATATTTAAAAACAATCTTGAACCACTTGCTGTGTCCGGTCAAGTCAAACCAATTTCCAAACAAAAGCTTCTTGTCTCAATTTTCAAAAAATTCTGCAAAAAAATTCTTGAAGCATCAAAAAGTTATGAAGAAGAAGTAAGAAGAATGATTGATTGGATATTTATTAGTACTTAAACTTGTAATCTGTTGAAGCATCATCGTCATCTCCTCTTCCATCATTCTATCTTTTCTTTTATTTCCTTTTCGTTGTTACTCTCCTTTCTTCAGTACTTGCTACTACATGTATACTTACATAGATGGATTGAATAGAGACCAGTAGCTTAACGCTTAACAAGAAATAAATCAGAAAATGTCAGAGTTTTCAATTAAATTTAATAATTTTGAACCTGACAACGACAAATCGATCGATCAACTGAGTTGGAGGTGAACAGGAATTCATCATAAATACAAAAAGTTTGTATGTGATATATGAAGTATGAAAAGAATGTGTTGGATATGTCACATGGGGATATGTGTTGCCACTGGAATTCTTCAATATTATTCTTGGAATTTCATTTATTGCAAAAATATTTTCTATAAAGGAACAAAAAGAATGGACTTAAATCCTCAATATAAAAAAGTCGATGAAGCTAAAATAAAATGAATAAAAAATTGTGTGCACGTACAGAAGCATAAAATTCCTTGATACAGAATGAAAAACTTTATTTTTATTGAACTAATTTACTTTAACTAAATGCGGCCAATTTGTGAGAAGCTAGCAATCGACTATGGCTGCAATAAAATCATTGACTGAATTAAATAATGAAGGAACAATAAGAAAGCCGACAACGACAAATGACAAAAAGAATCTTTGAACAATTTTTTATGTCCAGCATAGGAAAAAAAAAAAATTGAGCAGCCATAAAACCATAAACAAGTATTCATAATAATCAGTAATTCTCTCCTTCTCAATGAACTCAAATCCTACTACTAATGAACAGAGTCAAGAAAATTTACGGCAGTAAAAAAATTTGAGAGTCATAAAACAATAAATTTAAAGATTTTTAACACAAATAATGAATGTCATATGTTCCTGGAACTCTCCTTAGCACTTTATGGCTCTATGATTTTATGAGTCTTGTTATATATATTTTTTTGTGTGACCGTAAAGTAGTTGTGAAATGCTTGTCTTGCTTGCCTTTTTTTCCATGTTTTTGTCTTTGACTTTTGTCGAGCATGAATAAAGTTGATTTTTGAGGATGGATTTGTGAAGATGTGATGTCAACATGTGGATTAGAGTTGATTTTCTTGTGAGTTTTGGTTGATTTTTACTTTTTATTAGGTTGATTCTCATTTTGTAAGCAGTGTTGCGATACAGGCACCTGTGAACATGTGAGAACAGTTCAATTCTTTAATAATTTGTGAGGTTTTATTAAAATTTGTATGGTTTTGTTAGAAAAACCTTATAAATTATGAAGGAATTGTATGGTTCTCACCAGTGAATAGATTCCTGTATCGCAACCCTGTTTGTAAGTCTAAAATTGGATTCATTGGGTTTTGGCGCTAAACTTAGCTTTTAAAATTGTGGTTTCTACAACCAAGTCAACGTTAGATCAATAATCTTATTCAAATCTCCCAAAAACCAATTTCTAAAGAATCATAAAATTGAGAAACATTTGTCCACAAAAATCTGCAGACTCAATACTGATTACTTAATGACGAAATTATCGTTCCTACACAGAAATAAAAAAAACTCTCAATTTTATTATTTTTTGTGTGTGCTCAATGCAAATATTAGAAACTTTTTCTTCTGTCCAATTTCACCAATTCCAATTGTCCATTCAATTACCTCGAAAAGTCATTCATTATAATCCCCATTGTGATTTTCTCTCTCCGTGTGTTTCTATTTTATCATTGAAAAACGTATAATTTTCATCATCATGAATCGATAATGATTTGCCATAAATAAATTGAGCATGAAAAGCATCAATCAATTTGTTTCATTCATTTTCCAATATTAGAGATCATTTTAAAGGTGATATTGGTTAATAATAAATTACAATTGTCTTGTTTCTAGTCCAAGTATTTTGTGTACAAAAAATATTATTATTTTATAATTTATTTGCATAGCATAAACTATAAAGTTTACACATTTATTGGACATTGCTAAAATATCCAATTTGGTTGTTTACTATACAAATTAAAACAGCGGGGAGGATGTTTTTGACTCAAATAATAATAATTATTATTTTGTGTTTTGTTTACAAAACTTTCTGATTATTATATGAGTTATAATTAATGATATTGATATTCATGGCATGTGGGTGAAAGCTTTATTTGGTGCTATGTTCTATCCATTTTGTATTGTAATTGGATTAAAATTTAATCATGATATTGATACTTTTTGGATTGTTTTGATGGACAAATTAGGTGGAAAAATTGAATTTTTATTAAGGATGAAAGGAAGCTTCAATCTTGTATTTTTGTAGAATTTTAAGTATAGATTCTGAGGTTAGTTAAGGGGCCATTCACTTATTACGTAACGCTTTTAGGGGGGAGGGGGTCTAAGATTTTGTTACGGTTCAAACAAGGAAATTTTTTTTTCATACAAATTTTGTTACGAGGGGGGGGGTCTAAAAAGTCATTTTTTCGCGTTACGTAATAAGTGAACAGCCCCTAAGATGTATTGATTTTTTGATCAAATTGTTAAAGTCTTGATCTTTGATTTTTAAAGATTTAAGATTTTCGTTCTTTTTCAATTTTAAGCTGATTTCCAATGATATTAAGTTCTGCTTAAAATAAGGCAACAAAACAAAATCATCGCATCTTCTTTAGGAAATAAAAAAACTAAATATGAACCTTGCAAATGTAAATTTTGAACTTTTTCAATTTTGATGAAGATTTTTTATGCTGGAAAATGCACTTTTTCACTCAAATAAGCGTGATGGTTCAACCCATGGACAAATGTTGTACAAATGAGAAATTCGTTAAATTCACAAATGAACATCTATTTATAAAATAAAATATATTTTATAAAATTTTATAAAATTGCTTAAAAAGACTAGAAAAAACTTTAATAATTAATCTGAAAAAAATTAACTAAAGTCGGAATCAAGCTACATCAAAAAAATTCCTAAATCTATCAAAAACAAAAATTTTCAATCAAAAAAATCTAAAACCTCTGAAAAAAATCAATAAACATTCCATCTCTATATCCGTTCATAATGAAAATCCATTATTCCATTTCTACTTTGAAATACATCCGCATCTCATCTCGAATCATCACTCATCTAGCACAAAAATCCCGAAATAAATATTCTCTCAGCGTAAAGATCAATTTCCGATAAAAATGAAAATATTCTTTTCACCAGTCATCAAAAGCAGTGTGCTAAATGCTGTAAAGAAGAAATGAAATTATTCAAATTGTCACACAACAATTAACGCACGATAATGTGTTATAAAGAGTTGTTCATCAAAAACTGCATTTTTTTAATCCAACCGTAAAGAAGAGATGTGCGATAAAAATCTTGGGCGGTCTTCATCGTGTAGCTCAACTGATGTTAATATCAACACAAGCCAATCGTGACGATGCGGCATGATCACACAGAAGATTGAGAGAAGAAAAAAAATGGAATTAAGTCCATGATTTATTGTGTATAGTTTGATGCTAAACGATCCCGTCAACGATATTAACGAACATTGTGGTCTCACACATGTAGTTGTATTGAGTAGAGTGAGAGAGTATCATGTTACTAACTACTCTGTTCAGGGGCGGGGCATTAAGCAGCACAAAAGAAATGAAAAATAAAAAAAAATGTTTAACACAACAAACAGAGGAAGAAGAGAAGCAGAAAAAAATATCAAGAACTGATCAGTCGAGTTTCTCGAATGCTCAGTTGCAGTTGAAATCTCGTAACAACCTGTTGCAAGTCCTTGAGTGATTTTTTTTTTTCGGTGAAGAAGAAAAAAAAATTCTTGAAGTTAAAAAAAATAAATTTTTGTGACTTAAAAGAAGGAAAAGAATTTATATGTGAAATAAAAAAAATTAAGGAACAAGTTTCAAAAAAACAATTCCAAAGAGACAAAAAAAAGAAAAATTCAAAAGTATTACTTGAAAGTTTTGGATAAAATTTATTATGACAATGACGATGAGATCATTAGAACCAACACCATACTTTGCTGGATATCCATTTCAAGGTAAGTGTTTTATTGGACTTGAAAAGTTCCTCTTCCCTGACATCTGATACAGTCAAGATTTGTTCCCGAAATAAAGTTTTTTCACAAAAAACTTTTCTCCTTTTACTTCGTAATTGCACAAAGAAAGGTACAAGAAGGAATGAGCATGAAACTTGTAATTTAAGAACAAATTTTAAAATCTTTTTCAAGTCAACTTCAAAAGTAATAAAAATGTTGCAAAAAAAAGTTCCTCGTCTGTAACTGTAATTAATTTATCGAATGTTTTGCTTCAAAAAGGTAAATACGGCATGTAAATACTCATTTGATATGATGCTCAGTCGTGCTGATATTTTCATAATTGAAAAGTCAATATTGAATTAAAAACACTTCTAATTATGTGAAAATAAATATGAATATTTACTCGTTTAATGAATTTGACATAAAGATAGGCATAAATGTAATGAAGAGTTTGCAAGCTTTTGAAAACTAATGAATTGGGATGAAGCCTTTAAAGCTTTGTAAATTGAGAACTGAACGATGTTTAATCAAAAGAGATTCTTTATGAAATTTTATATTTGAAATTTTCATTTCAAAAGCTGCTTTATTTAAAGTTGTAAGGACTGATTGTAAATAACTTAAACTTCTATCAATTAAAAATAAATACAATTCAATATTTGAATGTCGAATTTGTAATTCTTTTGAATTTTGTTTTTTGTTTAATTTATAAATTCTAATAAAGTTTTGATTGAAGTAAATGGAATCGATTTAATTCCTTTTGTAAGGTTGCAAAAGTTTCATTGTTTTCGAATTCCGGTAAACTTTATCAATTTCAAGCAATTTTCTGATCAAATTGATCAATTGTGATTTTAAGTTTCCTTTAATAACTTTTACATTAGCAAGATATCTCTTAAGATCAGGGAAATTCGAAATTATTCTTTTTGTTCATTTAAAAAACATTCTGCAACTTTAAAAACAATTTCAAAAGAAATTTCAAATTCAATGGTTTTAAAAAACCTTTAAAATTGCAATAAAAAACTTCATCAATATTTTTGAAAAACTTCTCAAACTTTCCAAATTATCAAACTGCATTTAAAGTTATAAAAATTCTCCGAAATGAATTTGATCGAACAGAAGGTTCAAAGTCAATTAATATGATCTAAAAAAAAGGTCGATAAAGATTAACACATTTAATATCCAATAAAGCACTTTTCGCACCGACCTTAGATATTAAATTCTTTTGATTCTCCTCTATTATTAATTAGTAAACATTTTCACAGCTTAGTCAGGCAATAGAAAGAGAGAAATAAGAAAAAGGATCATAACTAGAGTGGATCCCTACCACACGAGCTTGTTGTTGATTAATAGCTCGTGATATGAATTTAACGTATAGAATTTATTATAAATTAGATAACAGTTGCAATGCAACAGAAGAAGAAGAAAGGAACAAAAAAATTGGTAACAAAAGATCAAAAAAATTGCCCTTTTAATCCGTCGGCGGTCAGGCTCTTTTAATATCATATATGAGAATATATAAAAAAAAGCCTCAAAAGGCAATCCCGAAAACATTAAATTGAAGAGAGAAATAAAAATAAAAATAAAAAGGAACAATATGTTGTACAATGATTTTGACATTTTGTAGAAGGTGAAAAATAATATAGCACCATACAATCTGTCGCTTCTTTTAAGTCCTTTCTCTTCTTTTCTGTTATTCTATATATTCTTTTATATTAACACAAAAATTAGTGAGATTGTTTGTGAGAGATTCCCATGATAATGTACCTGCAACTCAAGAGCTATTTAGATCACTATTTGATGATTGCACAAAAGAACTTACACAAAATGTTTCTATGGAATTCCAAAGCGTAGAAATTTTTCCCATAAACAGCACTGACTGTGGAAAAAAAGTATGAGATCGCTTTACAATAAAGTCTCGTGCTCGCTCACAATCGTCTAATCCGCCATTCATCTATGTCCAATTTATTTTAATTACCAATATGCCGCATGTAAAGATGATGGACATAAAAATGTGCGAAATTGTACATTAAACGTCGTTAAAGTACAATGGATGTCCTTGTGGGGAAATTGCCAGGTTTTTATGGATGTTGAGGATTGTTATTGTGGGGTTGTTCATTAATGGTGGTTAATATTGAGTTAAGGGGGGTTTGGAGATTTGTCAACTCTGGTTCCGAGTATCAATTGTCCTTTAAAGTTGCTTTCTGACTGTCTCAGCTTTGCTAGTGTCATAAAATCCTATATCTTGATAGACATCACATCCAAACCACCTCCTCACTAACATCTCCCATGCCAACAATTCCAAGAATGTCAGATACAAGTAAAGCTCACCGAAATTTCCCCCAAGGGACCGATTCTCATTTAATAATAAAAAAACTTTTAATGCTCATTTAAATATGAAAATCAATGAGCACATTTTCGGCAGTTCATAAAGTTCTCTTCTTCTTATTGACGTTAAATTTTTGTTCGTTTTAAGTAACGAAACTTATGGAAATTTATGGGAAATATTAAAGAAGAATTAATGCATATTACAAAACAACAAGAATGAGAGGAACGAAGTAAGAAAGAAAAAAGAAAAAAAAATCCATCAATGCGCTCGGAAGAGAAAATATCGCACCAGTTAAGCTGTAATAAAAGAAATGAAAATAAAGAAGAATATTTCAGTAATGAGTAAGCACAAAGAAGGCAATAAGTGTCTTTTTTTCGTCAGACACTCTGGCGCGATTTTTTTTTTTATTATTATTGTAAAAGGTCTTTTCCATCGTTTTGCATACGCTTTATGCTGTGTAGTCTCATCTGAGATCTCATAACCGTTTTTTTATGGACCTTTAAAAGAAGAAGTAAGAAGGAGTGAAGAGATGAAAAGCACAGTACAAATCGAACACAAAAGAAACATCGTGTAATATGTTATTATATTATGATGACGATAATAAATATATCGGTGGAATAGCTCTACACTGTAGACCGGCATTTCTTTGATCTTTTTTTTTTCTTCTTTCTTCTCCTTCAACATAATGTTTAGTCGATGCCTTGATTTAACATTTTTTTTTTTGCTTCTTCTCCTTCCTTCTCAATATACATATCGATTATGATTATATAGTTTCTTAATATATACACGAATTGGTATTTTTACACACTCTCTTTGCGCGTACACGCGGCTATTTTTTCTTGATACAAAAATTTCATAAGCGAAAAAGGAATTCCAACACCATCAATTTTATTTTCGGATCTGAAGATCTTCTTCTTTTTGTTTTCGTTGTGAGAGATGAGACTTTTTTTTATTCACATGCTGGATGTAGCTTAATTGAGCACATTTTTTCGAGATGATTGATGTGATTTATTGGTCAGTTTGGATGCGATTTTTATATCATCATCGATGGTGATGACTACATTGACTTTGGAGTTGCATGTAGATTCTTTAAAACGAATCCTTTACCTGAAGTACCTCCATGCTTAAATATATATCCAAATCTAGCTTTCAAATCCAATTAAGTATCCCAACTTTATGAGAGTACCCCAAAAAATTCAAAAACATTCAAACCCACAAAAAAAATCCGCAAATCACTCCTCAAACCTCCAACATATCATCTCTCATTTCAATAAACTACATAAAACATTCAATCTCTTCATACCTCCACTGAAAGGTATCGCGGCACAGTCAATTGTAATCAATAATCGTGGCACGAAATAAAATACAAGAAAATATCACATGAGAATGTTGTTTGTGTATGCCCAGTGAGATACAGATTATATGAATTGTTATTATTATTAACATCATCATGATGCGTGCAATTTATCTATTATAAAATTCCTAAATAAAGTAAGGCTTGAATGTATGTATGAAATAAGATTAATTTATTAATTGAAAAATGATTTCACACAATTGTTAAATGATTCATAATATTTTTTTATATAAATCGTCGTCGTACGGTCTAATGTACAAATATACCATACCTCCATTTATTTTCTGGACGAATGGGTGGATATAATGTGCGATGTGTTGAAGTCAGCGCACATTTATCTAATCAACACATTGTTTCTCCTCTTCGTCTCGTTTTTATTTCATCTCGTGCCTAGCCGCAAATTATTTATGATATTAGTTAATAGTGAGGAATTAATTATGTTATTATAAATCATATTCTAACATGATTTATTGCTTTGATTACTGTCTAATAAAGTTAAAGAACGAAGAAGACACTCCATGCCGAAAAGAAAATCTCGCCACACATAAATAAATGTGTATGTTGTACACAATATGTCAGAAATGTGAATGAAATGATTAAGTCTCGTAAAGACGCTGCGTCTAGCAAGTGTACGACAAACGGCAACTTCTTTTCGGCTTAAAATGTTGTAATGCTTATGCTGTATGGTGTGTCTTTATTGACGCTGATGTATTCTTGTCATGATTTTTTGTCAGCAATATCTTGTGTGAATGATGATAGCTACTAGAGATGTAGTAAGGTATTTGCAGGAATCCTCATCAATTTACATATCGAATAATACTCAATTTTGGGTTCCTCAAATTGTACAATCCTAGCTCCAGTTCTGATATCAACTCGCGTGGGATGCTCTGAATGGATAAATAACAAGTTTAATACGATATTGATTTTTTTGCATGCCAAATGACTTTGTCCTGATCTGGTTCTTGCCATTTTTAGTAATCTCTCTCTCGTGATAGCGTGGGGTAGTCTGCGACTAAAGGTAGAAGATAATGGAAATGTATGCAGCGTTAGCAACTTTGTCTTCTTCTCTTCCCCACCGTTATATTCGGCAACTTATCAAAGGAATTGAAAATCAATGGATGAGAAGATTCTTTTTAATTTAATTTCATCTATTAATATTAAATATTTTGATGACATCATTATAAAAGGAGAAGAATGATGAAATACGGCGATAGATGAAAGGAAAAAGAAACTATAGATAATATCTATTCGCTTATAATAGGTGAAACATCATAATATAAATGAAAGAAAAGAAAGAATCATTTATCTTATATCGTTTTTCTATTCTTTTATTTTTGTGTCGAGTCCATTACATGCCACACAATAATATAGCACCGACTTGCTTTGGCATCTTTTTTTCGGGCAGCCTTCATTTGATCAACTAAATTAATAATTTAAAAAAAAATACATTCATCGCCTTTTCTTTAAAATGACCTGAGTTTATTATATAAAAAATGCTCTCTTTTTTTCGGACGGCCAACGGAGACAGATTGTGATGTATTTGATCCATAATGTACATGCTGAACAATAAAATATTCATATTTATAATAAATGAAATCACACGAGAATGGACAAAAGGGAGAGGTGATGAAATATGAAGTGTAGAGCGGCATATACAAAAACAAGAAGTTTGATGGACTCAGTGTTGATTCATTTTTGAGATCCGAGCGCAATATTGTATGTAATTTATCAAAACGAAGGGAAAAACATCATAATTTACATGGGAAATGAATTATTTATGATTAGTAATTTAACGGTTTTTAAAATTTTTAATTTTCCTTCCACCATTTTGAAAATTCTCTCACTTCAAAAAGTATTTTGGCAAATTTGAGAAATTTAAACTGTTTTAAGATCACTTAAGAGATTTATCGCATAGAAATAAGTGGCAAAAGTAAAACAACAAAGTACCGATCAATAAATTCCCAAGACAAACCGAGAAAATCAATCAAACTTTTTCCCAACACACTAAAGCAGAGCGAAGAATGAAAAAGTGACTAATAAAACTATTAAGAAATCATACACAAAATAATTCAACAAATCGTGAAGAAATTATAAGGGATGTTAATAACATATTCGTATGGTATCGCCGTCAGTGCTTGATATGTAATTCACTCTTCACGATATCAGCATTGGAAAGAGCGAGACCCGTCGAAGGATGGAAAATACAGTAAATGATGAGCAACTTAATCATTTTTAATGTTTTTCGTGAAAATTTCACACGTTTCTACTTGGTTGAGTATTGCAACAATTGCAGTATTCTTACCCCCTTAAAAAATCTCCTCTCCTTTCCTTCTTCATCGTTCGCTGCTATGCTATCATGATTACGATGATGATGATAGGCACCAAAAGCATAGTAATTTGAATCGAGTGTAAACATGGTCATTAAATATCGCCACTTCCATGGCTATTTTCTTCTTTTCTTCTTACCAAACAAACCAACAACATAACATAGTCGCTCTTTTCATCTTCATCTTTCTCTCTCACTTTGTATGGTGTCGGCATCTTCTGATCACTAAACAACAAATTGACCATTGATTTATTCAGACTATATTAAGATGATGATGATGATGGAAATATTATTGAAGTATGCTGCGAGTGCACACGAACTTTTTTCCATGTATTTAATTCAATTAAGTAATTTCTTTTTTTTTTCAATTCCTCTCTATTCCTTTCATTTCATTTTACGTTGTGTTAAAAAGAAATTGCAGAAAATCATTGCATAAATATATTAATATCTATGATATTGTTAATGTTTAATATGCTTCATGTTGCGAATGGAATGTCTTAAAGAAGAAGATTTGTTAAAAAAGGAAGAGAGAAAATATCACACACGATGAATTTCTCACAATACTCAACGGCTCTTTACATGCTTTAATGAACATTGATACAAGAAAGTACATTTAAAGACGTCGAGTACAATGGGACTTTATATTGGATGGACATACAAAAGCAATTTTCATTTATCACAAAAGCAAAATTTTTACTTAAGCATCCACAAAAAAAAATTCAATCTACAGTAAAAAAAAGGAAAATAATGAAAAGGATCAGTTCAATTGTGCATGAAGCCTCGTCTAAACTAAAATTAAGTTGTTATGACACAAACAAAGAAAGCAGATGAGGAATCAACCAAAATGAAAACTGTTCGACCATATGAGCCTTTGAATAACTTTCTTTCTCCTTAACATATAGGCCATAAAATTCTCGAGGATTGAGAGACGAGGGAAGACACAAATTGTTGTTCTTCTGTTTTATGGTATTTTTTGGAGAAAATGATTGAATCCAATCTGTTCAAGCACAAATCTCTTTTAGAATGAAATGGACAAGATAAAATTTAATTTAAAAACATTACGAAAGCTTCCTTACCCCCATTTCATTATTGTTGAGAATTCAATTTTCTGTCTTGTGCATGAGATTGTTTAGAGATTCCCAACTGAGAGGCTAACGAGGTATGAAGGTGTTATTGTATGTTTTGCTGACATGAGGGTTGATGTCTTGTTGTAATTTGAGATTATTTTTGGTAGTCAAGGGCAGGGGTGTATATTTGGACGAGATGTGGGTGGGGTCAGAGCAAATTGTATCTTATGGTTATGCAACTGTTAACTTTTTCAATAAAAATTCACTACTCCACTCCTATCTAACCTCAAAATTCCAAAAATCAATTCCCGACATCCAAGAATCCCCACACCACGTGTATACTGTTATGCTAGGTGAATATAATGATGATGAGACTAAGGCATGTTGCTCTTGCTTTATTCTTTATTTATTGGATTCTATGGATAATCTCTAGCTTAACAGAAAACGTAAATATTGAAGATAAATACTTGTTGTATCGATAGCTAATAACATTTTCGTTATGATACCTGTGGCTCTTTGCTCATTTTCTACTTCTTCCTTTTTTAATCTTTTTCGTCTTTATTATGATTATTTTTGTACTGAAAAAGAAAAATACTTATAAAATATTTAAACAATTTCATGTCTTGTGCCTTATAATCTCTCTCTTGTAGATTGTTTTACAATTTTTTTCTTCATTCTTTACCTTTTTATTTATTTTTTCAACCAAACAAATCTTCTAACCAACAAAAAGATTCTTTATCTTTTCTCTTTCTTCTTGTTCTTCTTCTGTATTTCTTTTCTTTGCCTTAAAGGCCAAAGCTATGAAGAGGAATTAATCAAATATTTAAATTAGAAGTCAAGACTTTTTTGTAATCTTTTCATTAACAAATCGACTAAATTCGCAAATTTTATGTAAATATTTACAGGTCAAGGTCGTGTAAATCAACTTGGCGGTGTCTTTATCAATGGACGTCCACTTCCAAATCACATTCGATTGAAGATTGTTGAGCTTGCTGCCGCTGGTGTTCGTCCGTGCGTTATTTCCCGTCAATTACGTGTATCTCATGGATGTGTATCGAAAATCTTAAACAGATATCAAGAAACTGGATCAATAAGACCCGGAGTCATTGGTGGATCAAAGCCTCGAGTAGCAACACCCGAAATTGAAACAAGAATTGAAGAACTTAAAAAGGAAAATCCAGGCATGTTTTCATGGGAGATTCGTGAGCAATTAATCAAAGAAGGAATTTGTGACAAGCAATCGGCACCATCAGTGAGCAGCATTAGTCGTTTATTGCGTCAGAGAAATGTTGGCGACGGCGAAACAGAAATACCAAATGATTATTCAATAAACGGAATTCTCGGACAGTCAGATGAAAGTGATACGGAATCAGAGCCAGGCATTCAATTAAAGCGTAAACAAAGACGATCAAGAACGACATTTAATGGAGAGCAATTAGAGGCATTAGAGCGTGCATTTGCTAGAACACAATACCCAGATGTATATACACGTGAAGATTTAGCACATTCGACAGGTTTGACAGAAGCTCGTGTTCAAGTTTGGTTCTCAAATAGACGAGCACGTCTCCGTAAACAACTCAACAGTCAACAAGTTCCAGCATTTAACTCAAATTTATCATCATTCAGTTCACAATATGAAGCACCACTTCAAATGCCTCCAACACAAACATCATTTGCATCATCAATGCAGTCGTGGAGTCAACCCTACACACAGCAATCGACACAATCAGCATTCAATCATATCGGAGCACCAATGGTAACAAGTTCTGCAGCATTGAGTCCAGCCTCATTAAGTTCAAGTCCCGTTCATGGAACAACCGCATCAACCTTACCTCAAAGTACTTCAACATCATCAATCTCTGGCAATAATAACCATCATAATAGTATGAGCATGAATTACAGCACTTATTCATCATCACTTGCCGAACATAACAATTCAACTCCACCAATTTCGACATCATCTCACAATCATTTAAGTTCAACTCCACCCACACCGCCAGTCACAGCTTCAGCCTATCCTCCATTCTCATATAGCAGTGCTGTACCATCATTTGATCAAACATCGCAATGGCGTGCTGCAAGTATGACAATGCAAAGCAAACCAACGATGGCAATGTCGAACACAGGATTCGAGTGGGATGCAGCTTATAGGTAAATATCACATGCTGACTTTATTAAAAGCTATTTTGTTGTTAATTTAAGTAACATTTAGCTTGAACTATTAAGTACGTGGTTGTTTTATGTACATGAAAAAAAAAATAACAGTAATTAAAATGACATTCATGCTTTTAAAGCTTCCGTTTAACAATAATTTAATAATTTTAATTAAATGCATAAAAAATTAATGTTTATCTCATTTGCGGCGATATTCTGTCGCCTGATATAATTTTCATGTTCAGCACTGCTACTTTTATTCTTGCTTATTTTAATTTAAATGCAACATTTTTTTCATTAATCTTTTTTTTTTTAATTACAGTTCCTTTTTCGCAACTAACATGAATCATTATGGTCAGACGACGACAGCCAGCGGACATTCACTATCGCCGTCGAGTGCTGAAGCTAAAGCATATCACGGATTGGAAATTAATCGTGTTCATTAAAATTTGATATGATAATTATATTTTTACGTGTTTGACGTGTGGAATGTTTAATTTTACCGAAAGATGAGATGAAATGCATGCCTGCACTATCTGTTTTGAACTCGAAAATGAGTGAGAAAATTTAGGTATTGCCTATTGTCATTGAAATGTAATTAAATGATGAATTGTAAATGACGGCGGGTAAATGATTGTTTAGAAAATTGAATTGGTATCGTGAAATGGAGGATATAATTAGCATGATGATGGAGATGCATTGCTGTTTTTGATGTTATTGTAATGCATTCATTTGAAATTAAACTTTTGACTGGTGACAAAATAAGTTGAAATTTAAGTTTAAAGCAAATGTTTGAAATCAAAACTAAAAGTATGAAATTCGAGCTGAATTCGAGCAATTGTGATGCAAAAATGGAAGGATATAGATTTCTACAAAATGTAAATTTCATCTTCTCCCACTTTTGGATCACTTCAAAGAACCAAGATTATCCTTTGCATCAGTAAAAAGACGCAAAAAAATATTTTTGTTTCAATAATGATGCGAAATCTATCTTGAAACAAATTTGCTTCATTTTAAAATGTTTGCATCATTATGAAAACTTTAGCATCACTTTTGAAAATGTTTTGCATCATTTTGACAACTTTTGCATCATTTTGAAAACTTTAGCATCATTTTTGAAAACGTTTGCATCATTTTGAAAACTTAACCATCATTTTGAAAACGTTTGCATCATTTTGAAAACATAAGCATCATTTTTGAAAACGTTTGCATCATTTTAAAAACCTTTGCATCATTTTTAATACGTTTGCATCATCTTGAAAACGTTTGCATCATTTTGAAAACTTTTGAATCATTTTTAATACGTTTACATCATTTTGAAAACTTTTGCATCATTTTGAAAACTTTTGCATCATTTTGAAAACGTTTGCATCATTTTGAAAACGTTTGCATCAATTTGTAAATGTTTGAATCATTTTGAAATCGTTTACATCATTTTGAAAACTTTTGCTTTAAAATTTGCAATTTTTGCTTCAATTTTACAACGGTCAATAGAAGCAAAGCTAATTTGGTTCACTGGAATTAGCATTTAACTTCAAATCAAAGCATCTTCAATTTCCAATTGTTTATTGGATCGAAATCATCAATTATTGAATCTTAACATACTCCTTACTAAGCGACAAACCTCCCAGTAAAATCAATTCATTTACCTGCCCGTAAATTATGTAAAATAGACCAAGAGAATTGTTGCAAAGACTTTACACCAAAATCAAATTGTTATCAAATGTGTATACTGATATAATATAATAGGATTAATAGCTCATAGTTTGTAAGTTAATTTCTATAAATGTATAATCTTTAGAAACCTTTTTCATTCAACAAAACAAAATAATTTTATATCTGTACGAAAGTATTTTTAATTATAAAAATTTTAGATTAGGATGAACAATCTTCATGTAAATAAATTCTATTTTAAATAACAATAAAGAATGATAAAAAATTTATGTAGAAAAAGGAATTATGAAAAATAAAAAAAATTATGTAGACACAAAATAAAAAGTTTTTCTTTTTTTTATTCTTTTCAAAGTTAAAAAGGGATCAGACATTTCATTATCATTATGTATGCGATACAATGCCAAGTTATGTCTCATATAAGTATGTTTCGAGAACGAAAGGAAAGAGAAAGGCCCGAGAAAACAGACATTAGTTATTTTAATCCAAGGGAATTTTACTGACATTTTATTCTAAACGATATATTTACATCACTTCCAATGCAGACAGAGATTTCTTCCATTTCTCATTGTACTCTCTTTTTTTTGTTGAATATTTTAGAAGAGCATGTTAAAGTTTAAGTATGAGACATCTATTAAGAGGCTTGATTTCAGTTTCCTTTTGTGGTTTGAGATTTGTCAACAGAAGATGAAATAATTTATTAGTATTAACTTCAATCAAAGATGTTTGATTGCTTGTAAGAATGATTCATTAATTTGATTATTAGGTCAGCAATAGGAATGTGTGCTTTACAAGTTATCAGGAATTTTGTAACAGATTCAAATTTAATGGAAACTTATAATTAAAGTTTTAAAATTGAATGATGCAATATTGATCTTTGATAAGATTAAACTGATTGTTTATCTGCTAGTTCTTTAGAGGATTGAAATCTATTAAATTACAATTGGTTCTTAATCATCAAATCAATTTGAATTTGCTTTACAATAATTTTTCAATTCAATGATTTTCTAATTTTCATTAAAGAATGTTGATATCAATATCAATTCTGGCACATTAGTGGAATTGATTCATATATCTTCCAAGAACGAGCACTCTAAATTGATTTTGAGGTTGAGTGACATTTTTCAAAGTTAAAGTACTTTGCTTCTTAAATTAACATATATACTTAGAATTTTTATATCTTCATTAGTTTTAGAATTATAGCAAAAATCGAAGTTAATCTACTAGATTTGGCTAGAAAATTAAATAATTAATACTTCTTAACGAAAAGTAAAAGTTTAAAGTATATTGAAATTTCAGGCATACTTCACTCTATTATAATCCAAAATTAGAAATACCACACCTCCCATAAAGTTTAAGATATTTCCAAAAAACTGAAGTGGATAATCCGAAATCGAAGATAATCCACTTTAGTGAAACAGGCCGTAAACGATTAGTTCGCTAGAGTAACACACTGACGGAGTTTTGAAAGTCTCTTGACAGTGCCTCAATGACAAGGATTGAAATTTCCTGCAGTGTGCTGTTTTAAAGTTTATCTATCCCAAATTTAAGAAACATTTTTCAAAATCTAACTCATTTAATTAAAGAATTTCATTTTAAAAGTCACCCACTAGCAATTTTAATTCAGTATCACATTGAAAATCTCCCTTAAGACTTGATCTACCCCAACATACTAAACTTTATGAATTGAAAATTTTCATAATAAATTCAAAAGACAAACAGATATTTACTGTACATAAATTTTAATCAAGCTAAACAATTGAGTAAATTTTCAATGATATTTTTTTTTTCCAAAAAGCTGCTACAAGCACACACAAACGTATCAGACTCATTGTCGACATGAAGCCAAACAACATAAAATTTGTTAAATGTTTTAAAATTGGATTCGATATAAATTTTCCATTCTCTCTATTCAATTTCATTATAAAAATTGGATAAAGGCATTGATACATGGTATAAGCGATTATTATGTTTCTATATAATCAACAAAAGTAGGAAAGAAATATCTGGGAGCATTGATTATTTAATTTAACCAACATTTTAAAACTTCCTATTTAAGAAAACACATAAAAATATAAATTTTAAAGTTTTTTTTGTGTTCTCAATTGGGGATGATCGTAGATGATGTCTCTAATAATAGATATTTTAATCCTATTTGGTTCTAATTTGACAGATGCAATGTTTATAGTCAATTTAAGATATAGTCAATTTCGAAAGAATTGTTGCTTAAGTCAAACTAGTTGTCAAGTCAAACTAGCTATTGTGACCAGAGACTCATTTCTTGAACTAAGTTCCACCAGAATCAAAGTATTGCACTCTTAGTTATTGACATTATTGGATTGACTAGCTGGGGATGCTTCAGGTTTCCGTTCAATTCAAAACTAGTTCCAAAAATGCAACAATTCCAATATAAATCTCTGAATCCTTAATGAAACATTCAACATCATTTACAAATGACTCCCACAAAGCAATCCTTATAGCTATTATAAAACAAATTACCTAATTTTCTATTGTTTGGTTGACATTTCACATACAAAGAGCCCGAGAGTCGATCCAAGTTGAGAGAGAATGAAAGAAAAAAAGACACAAATTTTTATGGGCTTTGCCATTGCCATGAGGAGTTTAAGGCAAGTCAGTCAGCAAAGAGAAGAGAAGAAAAAAAAATATAAAAAGTCATATTTCATGTTGTTCGCAGACCACCCTGAGATGTTACATGGCAAAAACCTATTCGATGACAACTCAGTGATTATTTTCTAATAAGTATTTCTATTGTCCACACAATGATTTGTTATCCAACGCTCCATGTTCCTTCTACTTCTCTCTTTTATGCATTTAGATCGTTATGGGAGTTCTGTTCTTTATTTGCTACTCTCATAATATATAAAAAATTTCTTATTTTTTTTGATCTTCTATACGACACAAAAACTAAAAATGAGAAGGCAATTCTCATAAAGATTTCTTTCTTGAGGTTCTATTGTTGAATATCCTTTAAACGATGCCGATTTTTTTTTTCGGTAGCAATTGATTTGGCAGTGATAACAAAAACATGTCCTTGCGTGATTTATATTTTCGGAACAGTGCAAAAAAACTTTATGAGATCAAAAGGACCTCACAAATTCATGATTCTCACGTTCTTTTATGAGCGATAATGAAAAGTTCTTCTTTGATGCTTGGGAAGTCAGTAAATTTGAGAATGAAGTCATCAAAATAAATTTACATGCCAATAGAATTTGAAATGAGGATTTAAAAATTCATTGCAGCTTTTTATGAAATTTTTCAACATTTACTGAATGTTGCAGCCTTAAAAAAATCACTGGGAATATTTTTGCTGTACATGAACACTTCTTCTTGGTTCAGATAGATTTGCCGTTGGTAAAACAATGTTAAATTGTTTGTATTTGTTTCATTTGAATTAAGCTCATCAAACTGAGTTTATCGTTGGTTTTACTTGAATTTCCGATTGATATGAGTGAGTTTAGGACTCGATTTCCATCAAAGACTACATTCCATCATAATCAAGCCTGTTGAAATGATCGAAGTTTAGTTCAAACTAGATCAAACTAAGGCAAAAGTTGTGAAAATTGATTGAATCTCAAACCAAGGGTGCGGAACTGATAAGATACATTTTGATCATTTCATCAGTTTCGCACCCTTGTCTCAAAATAGATTTTAATTCCCCGAATAGCACAAGTCGGTTAATCGATCAGAAATTTGGCACAAATCCGGTGTGATTCTGGCATCGTGCTGGATTTAAATTTATGTCAGCACCATGCTA